CAGCGTCATTGCACAGAGTTATAAACCATAAGTGCTCTGCCACCAGTATGGACAGTTGATAAGAATTGTCTGCCTGTGTCGCCGTCCGCACAAAACTGTGTAGCTACAGCGACGTTCCTCCATTTACCCCAGGGTGTTAACTCTGAATCCATTTCCTAGAGGCTGTGTGAACTTCGGGAACCGCCCGGTTTCGAACACCGGCCATTTTGGAGCACGAGTGGCACAATTAGTTAGCGCGCCGTACTTATAGTCCGAGTATATCTGCCCAAAGTGCAAGGAACAACCAGCTGCACAGGAATATACAGTAAAACAGATGTACACGCAAAACAGTATCTGGCATGAAGCCAAAGTCCAAATGGACAAAGCTAGAACTTTCCACTAGAGCTTACAGTCGATAAACAAAGAAGAAGAAACAATATAATTATTAGGTGATAGAAAAATAATTAGAGATGCTGGTGAAGTTTTGTTTGTTAGGTTTTTACTTGGGAAAAACTTTACTACCACAGCTGGATAGAGATTAAAATATTTGATCCGACAATACCCCAGTGAAACCTGTAGGTCATTTCTAAGCAGAGATATTAACATTTTAGCTGCGGATACCAGCATAGATAAATTATAAGTGAAAAGTGTAATCTGACAAAACTAGATTCTGATCTGCACGCCGGCTAAATAAATTGTTGAAAAAAAAAAAGGGAAAATGTTTGCATTTTAATGCAGTAACTGTTCTGTTTCCTAACGAATCTCTTAGCAACTATATATCAATGCAATCGCAGCTGTGAGGCCTATCTGTATATAATTGCAATCGCAGCTGTGAAGCCTATCTGTATATCATTGCAATTGTGGCTGTGAGGCCTATCTGTATATGCATATCTCAGATACATGTGATGCAATATGGGCCTAATTAACAAATCAAAATGGCCGCCAGCTTACTAGTTTTTAAGTAAGCACTTCATGAAGTAATGATTAAAAGAGATTTAAAATAAAAAGTGTATCCACTTAATTGTACTTGTTTTTATCCCATACGGCTCGATATGTCTCTACACAATGTCTAGCCACCTCTCAAGAACAATGTACAACCTCCATTACTCTTCTAGCAACAATTCCAGAGAGATCACAACTTTCAGACCATGAAGCAAATGGCCTAACAACTTAGCCACTATATGTTTTGCTTTTACTAAAGGTAAAGTCAGGAGATGTGATCCAGCGTCATTGCACAGAGTTATGAACCATAAGTGCTCTGCCACCAGTACGGACAGTTGATAAGAATTGTCCGCTTGTGTCGTCGTCCGCACAAAACTGTGTAGCTACAGTGACGTTCCTCCATTTACCCCAGAGTGTTAACTCGGGTACCCATTTCCTAGAGGCTGGGAAACCGCCTGGTTTTTAACGCTGCCCCTTGGCTGCAGCGAGTCGCAGCTGCATTTAAAAGCAACTCTCCTATTGATTGCGCCAATGCGGACACTGTGTAGGTTTAACTTGATTGTAAATATTTTAGTAGGATACTGTAGTGTGTTAAACATATTGGATGCTATCTAACTTATAGTAATCAGAATTTATGCACCATATAACAGCTGGGCAAGTGGTTACATCTCCCGCAGTCATGTGGAAGATTTGGGCTGGACACCCGGTAAGGCGATGGAGTTTGTTTGTGGGAGGCAAAATTAAAACATCCTAACCTGTACAGTCTGTGGCGACAGCACTAGCCATGCAACTGTATTCATGTCATTGTGCATACAGACACTAGTGACTGTATTAATGTGATTGTGCATACAGACAGTAGTGACTGTATTAATGTGATTGTGCATACAGACAGTAGTGACTGTATTCATGTGATTGTGCATACAGACACTAGTGACTGTATTCATGTGATTGTGCATACAGACAGTAGTGACTGTATTCATGTGATTGTGCATACAGACACTAGTGACTGTATTCATGTGATTGTTCATACAGACAGTAGTGACTATTCATGTGATTGTGCATACAGACAGTAGTGACTGTATTAATGTGATTGTGCATACAGACACTAGTGACTGTATTCATGTGATTGTGCATACAGACAGTAGTGACTGTTTTAATGTGATTGTGCATACATACTCTAGTGACTGTATTAATGTGATTGTGCATACAGACACTAGTGACTGTATTAATGTGATTGTGCATACAGACAGTAGTGACTGTATTCATGTGATTGTGCATACAGACACTAGTGACTGTATTCATGTGATTGTGCATACAGACAGTAGTGACTGTATTCATGTGATTGTGCATACAGACAGTAGTGACTGTATTAATGTGATTGTGCATACAGACAGTAGTGACTGTATTCATGTCATTGTGCATACAGACACTAGTGACTGTATTAATGTGATTGTGCATACAGACAGTAGTGACTGTATTCATATGATTGTGCATACAGACAGTAGTGACTGTATTCATGTGATTGTGCATACAGACAGTAGTGACTGTATTAATGTGATTGTGCATAGACAGTAGTGATTGTATTCATGTAATTGTGCATACAGACACTAGTGACTGTATTAATGTGATTGTGCATACAGACAGTAGTGACTGTATTCATGTGATTGTGCATACAGACACTAGTGATTGTATTAATGTGATTGTGCATACAGACAGTAGTGACTGTATTCATGTGATTGTGCATACATACTCTAGTGACTGTATTAATGTGATTGTGCATACAGACAGTAGTGACTGTATTCATGTGATTGTGCATACAGACAGTAGTGACTGTATTCATGTGATTGTGCATACAGACAGTAGTGACTGTATTAATGTGATTGTGCATACAGACAGTAGTGACTGTATTCATGTGATTGTGCATACAGACAGTAGTGACTGTATTAATGTGATTGTGCATACAGACAGTAGTGACTGTATTCATGTAATTGTGCATACAGACACTAGTGACTGTATTAATGTGATTGTGCATACAGACAGTAGTGACTGTATTCATGTGATTGTGCATACAGACAGTAGTGACTGTATTCATGTGATTGTGCATAGACAGTAGTGACTGTATTCATGTGATTGTGCACAGACAGTAGTGACTATTCATGTGATTGTGCACAGACAGTAGTGACTGTATTCATGTGATTGTGCACACAGATAGTAGTGACTGTATTCATGTGATTGTGTATACAGACACTAGTGTCTGTATTCATGTGATTGTGTATACAGACAGTAGTGACTGTATTAATGTGATTGTGCATACAGACACTAGTGACTGTATTAATGTGATTGTGCATACAGACATTAATGACTGTATTCATGTGATTGTGCACACAGACAGTGGTGACTGTATTTATGTGATTGAATTTAAAATTGGATACATATTGCCACATATTTTCTTGTTCTTTTTTTTGCATCAGTGTAAAACAAGATGACATTTTAAAAATACTTCTTGGATTTGTTTTTCATTCTTTAGTTTGGTAAAAAAAATGAGTTTATGTTTTATATTTGTGAAGTTATGGCATTTTTGTTTGTCCATATTGCTGTGACACTATTTTTTGCATTAATCTACAGCCACATTATGATAATTTACAAGATTACACATTTTATTTTTAATCCTTGAAGATTGTTCTCCATTCAGTTTGGCACAAAAATGCAAAATATTGTATGTGTGTATGAAGTAGCAGTAAAGCTGTGGCATTTTTGTTAGTCTGTATTCCTACTAGAAAAAAAAAAGAATTTTCGGTTGCCTTTTATTTTTTTGCACGATTGTGATATCAAACAAGATAGTTTTTATTCTTGAAATTTGTTCTTCGAGTTCGGTTTGATGCAAAAATACAAAATATTATGAGTTTGTGTCAAATAGTTGTGAAGCTATGGCAATTTTAGTAGACAATAAAAAACATAGTATCTCGGAAGGTGCAAGGGTTAACGGGCTTGGTGGTCAGTATGTTAAAAAAACAGTTTATACAGGATTTTCTAGCTAGAAATGTTACCAAGCTACATATTTTCAGCTCTAATGTTATTCCAGTTTCAACATACGCAAATGAAAGTTAGAGAACCACTAGAAACATAGAATAAAAGTTAAATGCATTTAAAAACAAATGTCTGAGAAAAATGGTAAAAATAAAATAAAATGAATTCAAAAGTAGTGAAGAAATACAAGAAATGTCTGGACAACCGATAGCATCAACAGTTATACGACAGAGAAGATGGCGCTACATTGGAAACATCCGGAGAAGAAACCAGCAGAGAATCACCGAACAGGCATTAAATGGGAAATAAAGGGATTAAGGAAGCGTGGAAGCTCAAAAGAAACCCTAAGATGAAGGTTAATGAGAGAGGCCAAAGCTGCTGGACTAGATTCCTTCCATGATTTTCAACAGATTGCACAGTATAGAATGGAATGGAGGAATAGGCTGTGGGCCCTATGTGATGTAAAATGATACAGCATGATCATCAGTGAATGCTACTAATTATGAAACAGCTTGTTTCTACACTGAAACCCACTTCTGCCCTCATAGGTATTATTGTAACTGTTGATATGTTTAAGTCAACCAGTCAGTGTATGAAACATTTTGTTTCACAAAAGTACATTTAAATAATGAGGCAACAAGGACAGTGGTCACAAACATTATACAAATATTGCACAATTTATTACCTGGCATTTTTTCTGTCAGGGGCACAATGCAGTTACATTTTCAGAGTTAATTTGAGTTGTGAACTGACATCACAGCATTAGGGGCATTCCCATAGACGCTTCGTCCCCATCTTCAGCAGTCAGCGCAGAGTTCCAGTACTAATGGTACCAGTCGTAGTCTGGTTATATGTCAGTCTTGCCTTTCCTCTGAGCGTAGTGTGCCGGCCGAACCCTGTGGTCACATTTTCGGATGAATGCAGAAGTGTATCAACATTTCCCTAGACCATTTGATTTTCTAATTGCTTGTCCATTGCCCAGGTTTCTGCACCATACAGTGGGCTTGAGTATGCAGTTCTCACTTTTAATATGTTAAAATTTTGTTTTCAGCATGTCTACCACCTCAAAGAAACACAGGAACTTTGTTTCGGAGCCAATGGGAGAAAAACCGGTGACTGAACTTGCAGGCATAGGTGACGTACTTGGCAAGCGGCTGATTGATCAAAACTACGATAAGGTGTCTTTAGATTTGGTTCCATAAACATAGTTTTGTGTATATTGCACAGTTGAATAGAAGAATGAATGTTTCAGTGTAGGAGGTAGTTTTAAAGGGATGCTCAGTTGCATGTTATTAACTTGCAGTGAATGTTCAGTTACATATTAGGAAAACATAGGGAATGTTCAGTTACATATTAGGAAAACATAGGGAATGTTCAATTACATATTAGGAAAACATAGGGAATGTTCAGTTATGTAATGAAATATAGGCAGAAAGGGGTTAAATGAACAAGCATACATTTCAGACCACCACACGGCGTACTAATCCATCACTGTGTGAAATGACAGAAATAGGTGATTAGAAAGCCATGGCCTAGCCAGCTATGCAGAACACACCGCCATGACATCTGACAGTGAGGGATGAAACATTCGACGAGTGCCCGTGAACTGTGACCAGCTGATGAGATACGTTCATCCAAACGTGACCACCAAAGACAGGTGACAGAGAAGTGATGGAGAAGGTACGCCAGGAGGAGCGGGAAAGCGGTGGAATAAAGTCAGAGCCAGGGGCTTGAGAAGACAGTTAGCCCCGGGACCGCTTGAGAGGGGAGTTAGTCCCGGAACCGCTGGAGAGGAGAGTTAGCCCCGGAACCGCTGGAGAAGAGAGTTAGGGCTAGACCGCTAGAGAAACCGGTTAGGAGAAAACTAGTGCTGTACTTCGTTAGAAGGTATATGTTAAACTTGGAGTTTAGCTAGAACAGTGAGTTAGCCCCGGGACCGCTTGATAGGACAGGTTAGGGCTGAACCGCTGGAAAGACCGGTTAGGAGAAAACTATTGCTTTACTTCGTTTAGAAGGTATAGGTTAAACTTGGAGTTTAGCCATAACAGTGGTTAAGGAACTCGTAGAGGCATACGAATAGCCAGTAATAAGGAGTGTTCATATACTATTGCTTATTGAATTTATGAAGTCTGTGTGACGAGAATATTGTAAATAAACCAGCTCTTGTGTAATTGATTACATCACTGGCCTTGTTCTTGAGTACGATTGAAGAGAGCTACAAACTATATTCATTCCACTTGGCCGACTTAGGCACATCTATTTCTTGGGGGATGTATAGGCACGACTGTGCCACAGTTACATATTAGGAAAACAGGGAATGTTCAGTTACATATTAGGAAAACATAGGGAATGTTCAGTTACATATTAGGAAAACATAGGGAATGTTCAGTTACATATTAGGAAAACATAGGGAATGTTCAGTTACATATTAGGAAAACAGTGAATGTTCAGTTACATATTAGGATTGTTGTTGTTGTTGTTGTTATCGATCCAGCGGCGCATGAGCTTTCGCCCTTTGGCCCAATGCCATGTAGTGGAATTTGCATGTTTTCACAAGCTGTTCTTTTCCTCCGTACAAGGTGTTCCACTTGTCTGGTCTCGGAGGGAGTAGCGTTCTTCTTGTCTCACTGAGTTTTGGGCACTCAAAGAGATGGTGTTCAACAGTTTCGTAGGGGTAGTTACATAGCTGGCACTCTGGGGAGTGTTGTGGCTGTATTCTGTTTAGGTGTCCATTGAGTGGAGTATGTTGCGTTCTAAGTCTGAAGATGGTGGTCTGGTCCCTTCTTGTTAGATGGTTAATGCTGTCATTAGGATCAGGGCCAGACATATGTCTATAAACCTCTCTTCCAGTGTCTCCCATGGCCCATCTGTTCAACCAAGTCTCTTTGTTTATAGCTCTTATCAGTGTTTTTGCTGTCTGGAGGGTTGTCGCTGTAGGTGGTTGTTCTTGTGTTGCTCCTTTCTTTGCCAATCTGTCAGCTCTGTCATTACCTGGTGTGCCGGAGTGACCTGGAATCCACTGCATCACTATTCTGATGTTGTATGAGGTAATAAGCTGATCGGCATCCAGGATTATCTTGGCTATGTCAGTTCTGCAGCATTCATTGCCCTCCAGAGCTTGAAGGGCAGACATTGAATCTGTGAAGATGACAATATTTTGGACCTTTGAGGGGTAAACATCCATTACAGTCTTTAGGTGGTATACTGCTGTTTCCAGTGCAATTATTTCAGCTTCATAGTTTGAACAGAATTCCCCGCATGCATCAAAAATCTCTTCAACAGATCCATCGGGATAACCTATGTAGATTCCGTAACCTGCTTTAATGGTAGCTTTAAATGCTGATCCATCAGTATAGACATGTATCCATTCTTGGGGGTAAGAATCAACGGTCTTTAGTGATGAGTTCATAAGAGCGATTGGGTCGGACTGTTTTGGTTTCCTCGCCTACCAATTTAGTTTGGACTTCTGGAGCTTTAAAGCGAGCATGTGGTGGTAGGTTTTTTGCAACATTCTGAATTCCTTGACGTCTTTCTGGGAGGTGGTATCTGTCCTGAATTTCATTAACACAGTGTAAAACCGATTTGTGCTTTATTCTTTGTTTTGGGTTCCCAGTTTTCTACAAGATGTCTATTAGGATGGTTACGATTTTTCCTAACGCATCTTTCATAAATTTCTAAAGTGGCTTTTTCTCTCCGCAACCCGAGGGGTTCCACATTTGTATGGATTTCACATGCAGCAGTTGGTGTAGACTGCATAGCTCCGCAGATTAATCGGAGGGCATTATTTTGTACTCTGTCAAGAGTCTCTAGGTTAGTTTTGGAACAAGTTGTAAGCAGTGAGTTGTTGTACTCTATCACAGAGCGAACATATCCTAGGTATAAGCCCCTCAGAGTTTCCTTGTCTGATCCCCATGATGTACCTGCAAGTCTCTTTAATAACTGTAACCGCCTCAATGCCTTATTCCTGATGTTTTCAATATGGTTCTTGAGGCTGAGCTGCGGGTCAAGTGTGACTCCAAGGTATGTGGGATGCTCTTCTTTCATCACTTGGTGTTTGTCTAACCTCAGGTTAATATTCTTCCTTGCTACTTGGTGGCTTTTGGTAAAGATTGTGTAGACCGTCTTTGCACAGTTAATCTTGAGTTTCCATCTTTGGCAGTAATCATGCAGTCTTCTAAGGTCTCCATTCAGTCTTTGGGCTCCACTTTCCACATTTTCATGACTCTGCCATATTGCTAGGTCATCAGCGTACAAGGCTTTTTCGGCCTTGATTTGTTCTGGCAGGTCATTGATAAAGATTAGGAATAGTGTACAGCTCAATGATGAGCCTTGTGGCAAGCCCTCCTCCAAGACTTCTTTAGAAGAGATTGCGTTGTGCATCTTAGTCTGGATTGTTCTATCTATCAGGAAGTATTTCACCCAGTTATACAATCTGCCATGTATTCCTATGCTCATCATCTTCATCAGGAGACCTTTTCTCCATACTCTGTCATAGGCCTGCTGGAGATCGACAAAGACTGCCACTGTGTGTTTCTTATTCTGGAAGCCATCATGTATTCTTTGTGTCAGTCTGAACAGCTGGTCTTCTGTGCAGCTGTTGGTTCTGAAGCCTGCCTGTTCATGGCATAGAACACCAGAACTCTCAAGGAACCAATATAAGTGCCTGTTTATCATTCTTTCTGCAACTTTGCCCAAGCATGATGTTAAGGATATCGGGCGGTAGCTTTTGGGGTCATCTGGAGGCTTTTTGGTTTTAAGGATAGGGACGATATATGCATTCCTCCATGCCCTTGGAAGTTTGCTTGACCTCCAAGTTTTATTAATAAGCCTGAGAACTACTTCTCTCCCAGACCGGCCAAGATGTAGCAGCATTTCGTTGTGGATCTTATCTGGGCCTGGAGATTTTCTAGGTTTTAATTTCTTCAGGGCTTGCTCTAGTTCATCCATGCTAAATTCATTTTCAAAAAGGGAGTCGCTGGCTGTTGGAGCTCTCTCTTGTTTCTTCAACTGAGAGAGCTGTGTTCTATTGAGTTCTGACAGCTTACCTGCTCTGTTAACTGAGGCAAAATAATGATTGAAATGTTCTGCTTTCTTCTTGTCTTCAGTGATTGTCTTACTCCCATCTGTCACTGGTTTTGGGTTCACCCTTCTACTTTCTCCGGAGAGGTTTTTAACTAAAGTCCATGCTTTATTTCCATTCTGTCTAAGGTCTAAGTTGGAGCAAGTTTCTGTCCATTTATCTCTTTTAGCCTTATTAACTACAAGCTTTACTCTGGCACATGCTTTATTGTATTGGATCTTTGCTTCTGTTGAACGTGCAGTTTCGAGAAATATTCTTGCTTTATTCCTTTCAGATATAGTATTTTGAATCTCTTGATTCCAAAAAGGTTTATATGCCTTCCGGCTGCCCCTTGGGATGGCTTTCGACGCTGCATTCAGGATTGCTTGTGTTATGTCTTCACAAAAAGTTTCCACACAGCTGTTGTCAATTCTTCCCAGGAGGCAGTCAGATGTTTCCTGAAATAGTTTCCAGTTTGCTTTTCGGAAATTCCAACGGGTTCTCTGCTTAAAGCGTAATTTAGGGGTGGTGCTTACAGTTGTGAGTATAGGTTTGTGGTCACTTCCTATGTCGTCCAGGACTTGGGGATAGCTTGCGTCTGCTAAGTCGGATGAGCAGATGGTCAGGTCTGGTCTGCTGAGAGATAGGTGGGCCCTGTGTAACAGTGTAGGTGTAGACTCTGTGTCCTGCAGCACTAATAGGTTAGTTGTTTCACAAGTATCTTCGATGTACTTCCCTGTGCTATTGTAGTCAGGGTAACCCCAACGTGGCGAGTGTCCGTTGAAGTCACCAACAAGAAGGGTTTTATGGTACTGTGTCTTATATAGTTCTGGTATGTTGCATGTTGTCTGAGGTGGGCTGTACACGTTGTATATCGTATATTTGCTTCCATTGTGCCAGATAGTTATTTTTTGCACATCTGTAGGGTGAGATGTCGACAGCATTGTTACATCTCCTTGTATGTCATTTCTGATATAGGTCACTATGCCCCGGCAGTCATTGCACTTACAGGCATAACTAGTATATCCAGTGAGATGCAGATCAGAGTCTTTATGCAGGGTTTCTTGTAGGGCAGCCACGTGTACCCTGTGGTTGTTTAGCAGTTTGGCAAGTTCAAGTTTCTTATTTCTTATTCCACAGATGTTCAGCTGCAGAATATTGAGCATCTGTGTATTTTTTGCTGTGCTGTCTGAGTTCTTTTTGCTCTCCCTCCCACTTTTCCTCCTTCTGGGGTGTCTGTTTTCCCTATTTATTTCAAATTTTCCAGTAGCCAATTTTTCGCACATGACAGCCTGGTTTCCCACTGTCTGGCGCGGGCCTTGATAGACGAGGCGACGACCGATCTCGTATGTATTCTTAAATTTTGACATATTCATGGCATTGTGGTGCTGGGGTGTCTGTGGATTACCTACCTCCCCGGGCAGCAGCTAGAAATGCCCTGTACAGTTCTAAAGGAAATATGGGTTGTGTTTCTGCCTTTCCCTTTAACACGTAGCTAAGGTGGGGCTCACAGTGTTCTCATTCCCCGCCACCAGATTGCCTGCAGGTTTCGCTGAGCTCTTCATGTCTCTAAGCATGGCCTAAGCATGAGTAGTTGGGGCAACTGGATCGTCACGTCCTGAGTCCCTGTGCCTTCACGATAGTTTCCGGTATTCAGGGGGGTTAGCATACTTGTTTCCATTCCTAAGACTGTTCAGCACACCTCTGGTTCCTTCCCTCCCACAGGGGGCAGTACGGTGTGGTGCACCGGGTTTATTATCGAGGTTTGCTCCTCTAGATCCATTGTGTTTTGCCTGGGGATTCGCACCCCCAGTTACCGGGACTACCTCGGGGAGGCTGTGACTCTTCGCCACGCACAATGGTCTTGAGGTAAGAGAGGTTTTGCTAGGTCAAGAGGCTGACACCACAATGGACGCTCCTTTCGTGAACAGATATTCACTAGACCTAGGGTGAAGTAAGGGGGGGAACCCACTACCCACAACACCAACACTTCTTACCCCCTGCCTCTCGAGGCTCAGTCCCACATATTAGGAAAACATAGGGAATGTTCAGTTACATATTATGAAGAAACCTGGAATGTTCACTTGCATGTTATGAACAAGAGTGAATGTTCACTTACATATTATGATCACAGGGAGTGTCCATATGAATATTCTACTCTTAGTGAATGCTGAGTTATTTTTTATGAACACATAGGGAGCATTCAGACATATATTCAAAATTCTTAGTCAATGTTCCTTACATATTATGAACACACAGTTCTATCTGTGTTAACTTCAGGGCAGAGCAACTGTGTAATGTAACACATGCACAGAAAACAGAATATAGTTCTTTCTCTGTTAACTTCAGGGCAGAGCAACTGTGTAATGTAACACATGCACAGAAAACAGAATATAGTTCTTTCTCTGTTAACTTCAGGGCAGAGCAACTGTGTAATGTAACACATGCACAGAAAACAGAATATAGTTCTTTCTCTGTTAACTTCAGTGCAGAGCAACTGTGTAACAAATGCACAGAAAACAGAATATAGTTCTTTCTCTGTTAACTTCAGTGCAGAGCAACTGTGTAACAAATGCACAGAAAGCAGAATATAATTCTTTCTGTGTCAACTTCAGTGCAGAGCAACTGTGTAAAAAATACACAGAAAGCGGAATATAATTCTTTGTGTTAACTTCATTGCAGAGCAACTGTGTAACAAATACACAGAAAGCAGAATATAATTCTTTCTGTGTTAACTTCAGTGCAGAGCAACTGTGCAACAAATACACAGAAGGCAGAATATCATTCTTTCTGTGTTAACTTCAGTGCAGAGCAACTGTGTAACAAATACACAGAAAACAGAATATAGTTCTTACTCTGTTAACTTCAGTGCAGAGCAAATGTGTAACAAATACACAGAAAACAGAATATAGTTCTTTCTCTGTTAACTTGGAATCTTTGGTTGAGGGCGCTTTGCTCCATTTAAATGCATAATTTATACTCATCATTATTCTTTGTACGCAGGTTTAAGAGCCTTAGTGTCCAGTTTGACTGAGCCGTAAATGAGCATCTAGGAAAGTCCTGGGACAGGAAGTTGGCTGGCGTAATATTGACCACATCACTCAGTGCTGATTGGTCTATAAAAAATAGGTCAATACTATATACCTGAAGGCGTGGAGAAGGATCTTTTTGCACAGGAAGTTGTTGCAGGCAGGCCTAATACAGACGCTTGTTGCTTCCTGCAGACAGACTTCACTAGCAAGACAGTTGTTGCTCCTTGCAGACAGACTTCACTAGCACAGACAGTTGTTGCTCCTTGCAGACAGACTTCACTAGCACAGACAGTTGTTGCTTGTTGCAGGCAGGCCTAATACAGGCACTTTTTGCTTGTTGCAGGCAAGCCTAATACAGACAATTGTTGCTTGTTGCAGGCAGGCCTAATACAAATGCTTGTTGCAGGCAGGCCTAATACAAATGCTTGTTGCAGGCAGGCCTAATACAGACAATTGTTGCTTGTTGCAGGCAGGCCTAATACAGACAATTGTTGCTTGTTGCAGGCAGGCCTAATACAAATGCTTGTTGCAGGCAGGCCTAATACAGACAATTGTTGCTTGTTGCAGGCAGGCCTAATACAGACGCTTGTTGCAGGCAGGCCTAATACAGACAATTGTTGCTTGTTGCAGGCAGGCCTAATACAGACAGATGTTGCTTGTTGCAGGCAGGCCTAATACAGACAATTGTTGCTTGTTGCAGGTAGGCTTAATACAGACAATTGTTGCTTGTTGCAGGCAGGCCTAATACAGACAGATGTTGCTTGTTGCAGGCAGGCCTAATACAGACAATTGTTGCTTGTTGCAGGCTTAATACAGACAGATGTTGCTTGTTGCAGGCAGGCCTAATACAGACAGTTGTTGCTTGTTGCAGGCAGGCCTTATTCAGACAGTTGTTGCTTGTTGCAGATAAATATTGTATATAACTAACATAGTTAAATGTTGTTTGTTGTTGACAAATATAACTAACACGTATGGTTTTTGCTTGTTGCAGGCAGACTTCACTAACACAGACATTTGTTGCTGTTGCAGACAAATATAACTAACATAGATATTTGTTGCTTGTTGCAGGCATACACTGTCCTGGGTCAGTTCTTATTGTTCAAGAAAGACGAGGGTCTGTTTACAGACTGGCTGAACGACAAATGTGGGGCTAACTCCAAGCAACAGGGGGACTGCTACCAGTGCTTGAAGGAGTGGTGTGACTCCTTCTTGTGATCAGCCTCCATGTTTCATCCAGTTCAGGAGAATACCATTGTACAGTTTTATACTTTGAAGCAGTCTATTGTAATATTTGGACTTTTATTTTGTTATGTATCTTTGAGAAATGATCTGACGATGAACTGTTCTTGCTACATAAAGCAACTGCTGAAGTCAAACATAGCCTTAGTGTCAGTTGAGTGTCATTATCATCATCGTCGCCATCCCATAACACTGCATGTCGTTGGGTCAGCAGTTGCTGTTGACTGTCTGACCAGACTGCTCCATTTTTTATGGTCAGATGCTATGGAATTCGTGGTTGCAGGCCTAAGGCTTGTGGTCTCTATCCATTTCTTTCTTGGTCTGCCTCCTCTCCCCTTTACTGAGCCCTGTAGTATTGTGATTGAGAGGTAGTCGGATCACGTCATTACTTTTTCTGCCTGCAGTTAACAGAGGTTCATAATGGCTGATATGCAACAGTGAAGTGTAGTTTAGGGAAGTTTCATGTCACAGAAATCTTGTTGCTCTTCTGGTAGCTTGACAGACTGTAGCTTCTTCTTTTTATTTTCTGAGTTTCAGACTTGAATTTGGTATTTATTTTCATCTGTTCTTCATTTCTGAAACCGAAGAAAATCAGGTTGTGGCTTGTTGCAATGACATTTCTCATTTATTTGTGAACACCATCACTGATCCCTGACCCGGTTGTTGCTGACACTTGTGAGACCTTGCAGCAATGCTACTTTTTTTTCCCAGATTTCATCTAGGGAAGTTTTGCTTCAGTGCTTCTACACTTCTTGAACCACAGTGACCTGACCTAAAGTTCCTACGATGACCTGACCTCAAGTTTCTACGATGACCTGACCTAAAGTTCCTACGATGACCTGACCTCAAGTTTCTACGATGACCTGACCTAAAGTTCCTACGATGACCTGACCTAAAGTTCCTACGATGACCTGACCTTAAGTTCCTATGATGACCTGACCTAAAGTTCCTACGATAACCTGACCTAATGTTACTACGATGACCTGACCTAAAGTTCCTACGATGACCTGATCTAATGTTCCTACGATGGCCTGACCTAAAGTTCCTATGATGACCTGACCTAATGTTCCTACGATAACCTGACCTAATGTTCCTACGATAACCTGACCTAATGTTCCTACGATAACCTGACCTAATGTTCCTACGATAACCTGACCTAATGTTACTACGATGACCTGATCTAATGTTACTACAATGACCTGACCTAATGTTACTACGATGACCTGACCTAAAGTTCCTACGATGACCTGACCTAAAGTTCCTACGATGACCTGACCTAAAGTTCCTACGATAACCTGACCTAATGTTACTACGATGACCTGACCTAATGTTACTACAAATACCTGACCTAAAGTTCCTACGATAACCTCATCTAGTGTTCCTACAATGACCTCATCTAAAGTTCCTATGATAACCTGATCTTATGTTCCTACGATGAGCTGATCTAATGTTCCAGTTATTTTGTTGACCTGTCTCTAGGTATTTTTTGTGACAGAAAGTATATACACTTTTGCGACAGACATTAGTGGACTTTTGTGACAAAAAATGTCTGACATTTTGCAACTGAAAACAGATTTTGCATTAATTAAAAGTAGATTTTTAAACTTTCTGCTACATTATCTAGACTGGGTCATCCTGGGAGCTAGTAGGTTGGAATTAAATATTATCCTGGGAGTTCAAGTCAGCTAAAACAGATTGTTGCTGTGAGTGGGATTTGAACACATGGTCACCACACTAGAATGTAGATATACCAACCACAATGATTATGCGGCTACAGAAAATATATACAGAGTGTATAATCACAAAATAGAGCTAGAGACAGATTTTGTTATGTCCCTTTTATGTCCTAGGCTAATTTTATAATTTGAACAAAGAAGACACAAACAATAGATTGCACTATTTATTGCCTGGCATATTTCGCTGTATCTCATCAGGTACATACTACAGTAAAAATTACAAAAATGAAGCGAATAAGCGAATCCTTTATAACTGAAAACTCGCTGAAATTGTACTTGATGATGATATAGCTAGAACATCCTTGCACTGGAACCCACTTGAACAAAGAAAGATGAGGTGGGCTACTCAAACAAACAACAGGTAGGATGGATGATTTTGTCTAGTTGGTCGAGGGGTCTATGCTCCTTCCTTTTGGAGACAAGAGGACAGAAGAAGAAGCATATGTGTCAAGTCAGACAAAGGTCACCTCTTATGTTCTGACAATTTTGTGTGTTCCGTCTTGTAAAGAATGTGACCAAGTCAGGTTCTGAACACGGCCTCATACGTGGTGACCCAGGAGTCAACACAAATCTGATATGTTACATCTCGACAGCAGTGTCTGCCATGGGACTGTTTATCTTGTCCTAGACACCAGCAGCTCTCACACATCTTACAGACCGCTTGACATCGCAGTGCACACCACTGTAATTACTTTTGTCTCCTCGTGTAATTAGTCAGGGATATATACAGTGTCATAGTTGGCTGTAGATTGAGCTTATTTGATTATGTTATAGTATAGTTTTCTTGCAAGATATGACAGAAGCGGGGAAAAAAAACATTATAGTCAGTGTTATCTAAATAATGGTGATTGATTTGTAGACCCTTATTTTTTGGTAGTTGTAGTAAATGAGTACAGTCAAACTCCAGTGTTCATCAATAATCCATTTCTGAGGGGAGGATAAATATTAAAAAGAAAGAAAATCAAACAAACCATTTACGTCACTCAGAAATATACTGTAGGCCTACACAAATAAATGTTAAAAATAAATTTATGATGAAAAAAGAACAAAACAATGGTTATTGTTGACAGTCACCTTCGACTATGACATCAGGTAATGTCCCTTTTGCTGGTTGATGTCCATACATTTCACCAGCACAACAATGTATCCAGTGTTGTTTATTTTGTTCTGTTTAAAAAAAAAAAACCAGAAAGTGTCCAGACATCAAATTGATGCTCTGATTAACTGTAGCGATTTTTGGGTGCCATTTCTTGATGAAAACCTGCATTTTCCCCCAAATTTCAGCACTTGGAACTGGATTATTATTTTCTTTTTTTCCTCATCTCTGAGATTTGTCTTATTGCTTCTGCTTGCTATTCTTGATGCCACTGGAGTAGCTCTTGTGAGATCTGTTCTATGAACCTCTTCGCTAGCCGTGTCAGAGGAAGGACAAGTATTGACTTTCTGGGCGTATATCACACACAGATTTAACCCCCACCCCCCTACACAAGGACTAAAATTACAGATATTGGAGTGGACGCATATTGGAGTTCCACTGCACTAGATGAATAATGTATGGTCAAAGAAAACATCAGTGTATTATTTGGGGCAACAAATGCCCTTACTTGGTTAGAATCAATTTAAAAAAAAACCCACATGAAATTTCTTAGAGCAACAGTACTGAACTACAGTCACTATAGTAGCACACTGACAGTCTTTGTCATTGTCAGAGTGTATATTGATGAGATTTATTTTGTCCTGGTGCATGTTGATAAACGTTATCTTCTCTTGGTGCATGTTGATAACAGTTATGTTTACTAGAATCCTTAACATGCTGTGTTAAGAAGTCAGTTTTGACAGAGAAGAGTCTCATATAGTTGCAGTTATTGCACTTGTCAATTAAGAATTGAACATAACTTTATGTCCCATTCATGGATTATAGCGGGTCTGTCAGTGAAAGCACACTGTCATCCAGGAGACGGCTGTGCACATGGCAGTGCTGACCTTTTCTCTGCGTGTGATGTCATTATTCTTCTAGCTAGATTTTCAGATTTTTAAGCTGACCGTGACTTTGGGCTACTCTTAGCAATATTCAGTTAAGGACAACAGATCGTTTACAGACCATATGTGATTTTTAGTTTAAAATAGCAGATCATATTCTGTGACAACAGTTGGTTAAGAATGGCAGGTCATAAACATTCTCTGGCAACTATTAGTTAACAATGGTGACTATGAATGAGGGAACACGTTAGCTTGAAATAGGAATGGACAGGTTAACAGACACTAAAAATAACTAAAAAGCACACAGTCATGTTTAATACTGTTGTGGTGAATAATTTTATTGTTGATTATTTGATACTGATGGATTTTATTGTAATCATTCTGCGAATAAACTTTGTACGCAAATACTTTAATAGCATTTTAGTTTTGTTAAAACCTTCGTTGCGAGAGACTGAGCACCTATGTTTGAATGTGGGTTGCAGTAGTGTCTATTCTCAACTTTCAGTATGATGAATCCTATCATGTAAAAGCTGTTTTGACACTTGTATTCATGCAAAGTTAGTCACATGCTGACGAGGAGACTGTTGTTCGGATCATTTGCTTGATTTCTAAATAACTTTAGGCCTATTTATGAGGTATTTTAATGAAATTTGTATAGAAACATGTCTTAAAAAGTTTTTTTCTTAACCAAGGGATTCAATTCATAGTAAATTCATCTGAAGTTCATCCTTATTTACCCCCCTTTATCTTTATCTGTCTTCTAAAAATTCACATCAAAATGATCAGCTAGCAAAGCTGGAGAAAACAGGACAAATATTGGGAGCGCACACATGTGTTTACACATACACACTAATATGTCTACACACATTATGTGCTTCAAGTTTGGAAGCGAGTTATCGTACAAGAGTACATGTATTACACGAGTAATGGACACTTTCCCGGAGTCTTTTGGCATATTGTGTCCGCTCCGTCTTTTATGAACAGCCAGTCTGCACTAGATGAGGGAGGTCAATAAAAATCACACCCGCCTTTACTTCAAAGAATGACTACTTACACCTGTCTATGGCTAGGCAGTCATGTTACCTTTACTTCAAAGAATGACTACTTACACCTGTCTATGGCTAGGCAGTCATGTTACCTTTACTTCAAAGAATGACTCCTTACACCTGTCTATGGCTAGGGAGTCATGTTACCTTTACTTCAAAGAATGACTCCTTACACCTGTCTATGGCTAGGCAGTCATGTTACCTTTACTTCAAA